TTAACATCACAAAGTGCCTGGGAAGAGTAAGCCCTGCTGTACCCATGCACTTGTTCTATGTGCGAAATTTAACTGACTTCTCCAAAAATGCCTGAGACAGTGCAGCTGTGAAAGCTATCAGATACCAGTGTGCAAGTATGAGAGGTAACTAGGAGATGCATAGTACAGCAACTACTTAGATGTGCTCCTCTTGGATACCAGATGACAAAAGACTACTAGAAGGTATCATCTTTGTACCTTTTCAGAGTAACACGATGTTCAAATGGATTTGAAACATAAACCAATTTTGCTCATGAATTGAGCACTGGATAAAGCCAAAAAAACATTCTGTAACGAGAAGACACGAAATGAATGACTGTATTAAAACACATACCAGAAGAACCACAGAAGATGGCTGCAGAAAAAACAACTTTACCCCTCCCCATTTTCACAGCATGATTTAGTTTGATTTTCCTGTTTGGTCATAAAGACCTGGAAGAAGTCTTCTTTCCTTTCACTTGGAAGCCGGACTTCCAGTGCTCTGAGAAAAGTGGCACAGCTTTTCCTGGGATCACGGGTGACTACTGTAGTCCAGGCTGCAGGCATTTGAAACAAGTTCCTCAACTCCTCCTCACACCCACTGAAGCGAGAGCACAAAGGTTATGCCGCAAATTAAGTTTTACTGACAGCACCTCTAGGCTGTCTAAATCTGATTTTGATTTGCTAGTCATGCGCTTCACAGACATTCAGAAGCCTGAAGGCTTAAAATCTACTATCAGTCTATGTTATTACTGCTCAGAAAGGAATATTTCAATATTTCACTGATGGTCTGATGAAGGCTTGATTCTTCTGTGCATGTCTGTGGCAATGCTGTTCTCCATTAAGAACTGTACAGATAGGAACAAAGTAAGGGAAAAGGATACACAGATTTCCTAACTTGATTTGTTGGCAGTTCTCTGGCATCAAATGCAGGTATTAAAGACCTGCAGGCTTATTTCCTTACAGGCATGCATGGAACCCCCATTTGCTATTCTACCTCTGGTACAAAAGTCGAGGCTTACGTCCATCACTTAGTCTGGTGACCAAAAACCCGTACCTCCTGCTTACCCTGCATCCCTTGGGCCCCAGACTTCTTACCTTCCTGATTCTTATTATGGGAATTGAGTTTATTGTATTTTAACAACTAATCAACAGCAAATAAGTACCAACATTTTACCACTTTTTACTGATCTCGCTCACAAAGCATTTGTTGTATTTCAGTTTATTTTGGAGCTGGGCCCAGTTAGAAGAAAGGCCTTCAGAAGCAGCTCCTTGCTGAGGGCAAAGGTGCAGCTAAACTTTGCTGAGATTTCTTCTTCAGCTCCTCTTCTTTTATCAGGAGATCCAAGTAGGCCCTGTTCTTCTTCACTCTTTAAAAAGCAGTGCCTTTTGACACAGAAAAACAGATGTATTTGTGCAGAGGGCAAAAGCAGCACATCATCTGGCAAATGAACTTCCTACACACTCAGAACTCTGAGGCCACCCTATGCTTTTAGATCAATTTTAGCTTCCATGTTTGCTTTGCTTTCATCTCTGAAACCTTCAGTGAGGAGGATGTTTCAATCCAGAGTGCTGATGTGAAAATCCCAGAAAAAAAAAACTCTGTAAGAGAAATGCTGACAGCTTTATCTAAAAGTAGCATCGGCAGGTGCTGGAAGATTAACGGCATATCCAAGGCCTGTACTTCAAGGAGACCTCCAGAACGCAGCATTTCCAGATTGTGCACTGAAGTCTTGACACAAATGTCCCAGCATTTATCTGGGAACCCTAATGAAACACACTTCTATCCACCAGTCAACAGCCCTGACAAAAAAGGCACCTGTGAACAAAGCAGTTGCATGGAATTTATGAGGGTTACCCAATGGAGATGAAGTCCACATTCATTTAAAAGTGAAGAATCTGGATCCCTTAATATGCCATGGCCATGCTTAACGCAGGAGAAAAATTACTAGCCTTTGGTTTCCATCTCAGTGTCACCTCAACGTCAAAACATATCGTGAGAAGAGAGAAATAAGGTTTAATGCAACATGAATTTCCCGCTATTACACATACACATCTGCCTATGTAACAATGTCTAATCAGTTAATAAAGGAGAGGCAATATTTAAATTCTGCTACCAGAACTCTCTAGCCTGAGAGTAGCAATCTCTTTCATTGATGCTGCTCTAATACACTTTAATTTTGTTCAGCATTATGAATTAATTTACAAAGCAGGCGTTAGTACTATTGAAATGACAGTTCTGTCATTTCAAGAATTCACTGATACATTTAATTTTTATCCATTTTTAAAATCGTTGCCATATCAACCTTGCCTTCACCTGCTTGTCCCCATCCTTTTCAAGCAGCTTCTGACAATTTCCTTCCAAGTTGCTTCAAAGATGATGCATGCCTTGAACCTGTAAGCATCCATGAGCAACCAAGAAATGGAGCTCCTTGAGAAACACGATTTTATTAGGATCAGTGAAGAATCTTTTCAACAAACAGGAAATTCAGTGAAAAGTGAAATTGCCTTTTTCCCAGTGCAGTTCTCATGTTTGCCAAGTTGTCTTTGAGTGGGGAAAATATAACAAGCTGGGGGAGAATAAACCAGGATAATTGTTGCTATTGCCTGTGACATCCGTTGTGTACAACTTGTTAAAAACCCCTGGTGTTCAATTCCATTCTTCTATCAGAGAAGATCTTCCCAGTTGAAGCCATTAACTTTTGGGACTGGAACCCGTTGTCCCCACTTAGCCTTAGCACCGTGTCTGAGCACCTTACCCCCTAGTGCCCTTTTGTAAAGAAAAGTACGTATTTCAGACAAAAAAAAAAAACAAACACTTCAGTCAAAAAACTCTCAATCAAAAACAAAACAAAACAAAACTTCAGAAGTTTTACATTTTTCTGGAACTAAAACCCCTTTCCTCCTATTTTTTTATTTTTTTTTTAAATTCAACTACCAAACCAAAAGGCTCAATTATGCATGCAACCTTAGGCTCAGTGTCGCATACTAATGGACACGGTGACCTCTTCATTTCCAGTGCATTGAGTTCTCTCTAAGGTCTTTATTCATTCAGTCTACAAAAGAAGGCGTTTGTAACAGAAATTGTTAATGTTTCTAGAAAATAAAATCAGATCCTAGAATTCCTGCTCTCATCTGTGACACAGATCCTCACCTTCTCTCAAAGCAGGCGATCCTGGTTAATGACTAAAACACAAACATCTGCTTATCCCCTTCTTAAAAAATGGATTAAGAAAGCTGAAATTACACAGTTAATGGGGTGGACAGTCTACCACAGACCTGTGGTCATATTTCAGAACTCTACCTCTAACCTAATTTTAATGAAATTAAAGTAAATTACTATTGCTATTTCCTCAGCTATTTTAAGCCCCCTGCAATTTTATAGACAATAACAGCAAGGATACATTACCATATTTTTGGAAGAAAAAATAAGTTAATTCAAGGAAGAAATATGGTCTCTTATGTGTAATCACTACATATAATAATCTGCACTCCCACATAAATCTGAAAAAGGCCAAAATGTCTGCAATTATGTAAGTAAGTTCTAGTATAAACAGCAAAAACATAACTGACAGGGAAGATGATACTGCTGTGTAATGCCTTCCAAGAAGCATGTCACATAGTTTTTATCTGAAAATTAGAAGAATTCATGAATTATTTAACAACCTGCCCATTTGTTACCAAAAGTACTTTGTCATGTAAATGAGCAAAGGGTTTTGAAATTTCCCAAGTAGAAGTGTGTCCCAGAATTTGATTCAAGATCAGTTATTCATTGTTCACATAGGATTTGCATAAAATTTTCCAGAAGTATTAAACTAGTAATTTGATTAGCACTGCAGCTATATCTTATGAAAAAAGTATGTCTCTCCTGAAACATGTAAACCACTATCTTCCCGTAACATTTCAAAACCAAGGAATTCACATAACCCCAAACCTGTGATGGAGCAGCTAATAAAGGAATAATAAACTCCAAAGGCTGCAACACAGACTGAATAGTGAGTCTGGTAGACGCAGCTGACAGTCCAACTGGGTGTTGGCTCTTCTCATTACAAACCATGCACCACAGCACAAACTTTGACTTTAGCACCATTCTTCAGGATTAGAACAGATGCAAGTTGAGACGAGACAGCAGGAAGGACTTAGAAGAGATGGAGAGAGCAAAACTTCTGGGCTCTCAACAGTGTTGTTATTTACCTGCAAATATTTTATATTAAATTCACCAAACCTGCACATAATTTCAGTATGGAACAGCAGACAAGGATGGAGCGAGCTTCATTCTCTAAAACCAGAAAATCATAGGAAGTATCTGTAAACTCCTTTTAATTCAAAACTGGATCATTTAAGGGATATTTATCCATTCACTCTTACAGACTCCTCCTTCTTTATCCTCTCATTTTAGGCACAGAGCTGGTATCAACATCCACATGACGGATATCATGAACTCCAGCACATACTTCATTTAAGGATCATCCAACAGTTCCAAAATACTTGAGACAAGCATTTCACCACCTTACCAAATGAGGTCGGCTTCACGTTATGACAAATCTTAAATGTATATTAAAACAAACATTTTCTCAGAACCAGACAGAAATCTAACTCTCTATGGCCTAAACCTATCAGAATAATTTAAACTGTGTCACAAAATTACCAACTTTGAAAAATCATTTATGACCTTTGGCACTCATGAGAATTTGAGGATTACTTAGCCAAAATACTTAATGCTTTAAGAAGCATCCATTTATGAGGGTTTATGGCAAAATGTAAGTTTGCAAATGTTTAATTATAGCTATTGGAAGAGGTAACTATAATTACTAGGGAAACTAATTTTACGACAAAGCATTATGTGACAAATAAAATTATGAGAAGGCAAATAATGAGTAAATATTAACTGGAAGACTATCTCAATCATGAAAGCTAAATTGAAACATTTTTCAAGTGAGACAATCTACACATTCTTAGTGATATTTTAACACAATACCCACCTTAGAACACACGTGTAGAAACCACTGTCTTGCAACTCAACCGAGTGAAACCATATTGAATCTTCATCCTTGCTCATCCTAACTTCAGAAAATATAATGGGTTCTTCTAAGTCTCCTTTGTTTTTGTACCACATAAGCCTAAGACCTGTGCTTTGGGCCATGCTATAATTAGTTCTGATATAGCTGTAGAAAAGGGCACATTTCACTCGGACTGGTTCACCTGCCAAAGCCATGTATGTCTTGAGATCCACTGACCAGTCAATGCAACCATCAACTGAAAGCAAAACAATAATAAAGACATATTAGATACAGATACATTTCTTCAAGACAGAGAGAGGCAGCCTGTGAAATGCAAAACAATTAATCAAAAGAAAAAAACCTTTGTTTTAGAGCAGTGTGATAAACTTGTGGCAGCTATTAGCAATCAAAAGCATTTTATACGGTTTTCTTAGTTACACGTAAATGTAAAATGTGCAGGCTGTAAGAGCACATGATTATTATTAGAGCACATTAGACCTGCTCGATTCCATTTCTTTAGAACATCATTACCTTCATCCACTTTCACTAATTCTTTAATAAATAAACCAAGTGTTTTCACCTTACCTACCTGCTCTAATAAAACAATTCTGAATTCACTAATTCCTTGTTGGAGGAAAATGTCTGTTGGCATCTGACCCCAATTTATCCCTTAAAACATTTCCCTCCACCTCTGCTAATTATGTTACATAAAAAATAAGAGATGTGACAATTATTCTCTTCCAAGGCAGTTACACACAGTTGTTTTTTTCCTACAGCCTACTCAAACTATAGAGAAAGAATTATATACAATAGACTACAACATGTTATCAATGCAATCAAGCTTAATGCAGATATTGTACAAATATGAAAAGGAATCTTTTGATGTTCTGTTCATCAAAAACTTTTGAAACAGCTTTTCTTAGCTAAAAAAAGGTTTGATACTTCACTTTAAAAATGAATGTGTCAGCCAATTTATTAAAAGATTATTTCTCTCTACATTTTTTCCTCCCATTACTTTTAAATCCTTTTGGTTACACTATAATCCTAGTACCTACATATCAACACATAATTCCCCTCATGTATCAGAGACTTTTTAATTCAATCTTTTGTATTCTTAGAAAAAATGGAAGCCTGAAAGTCAACTGAGAATATAAGCAAAAAAGAAGACAGCAAAGCAGGCTGTCAGCAGGCAAATACATTGCCTAAAATCAATGCACTTGATCTAATATATATTTTGTGGAATTTAGTGATCATTTCCAGCTTCATGTAACTGAAGCATCTCTATCCTTGATGTAACTACCTCAAATTCAACCAAGTAAGGGTCAAGTTGCCTCTTCTGCATTTACAGCATCAGTCCTCTGACTCTCAATGTTGGATACTCTCATATGCTCCTCATTTCACATACATCTTCAATAGCATTCCCTCATCAAGTGATTTTTTTATTTACTTCCTAAGCACAAGTACTACACACAAATTTGTATCCATAGTGGAATACCAGATCTAGTACTTTTTAGTGGCTTTTCTTACCTTTAAATTATGTCTACCATTTTTTCAGGCTTCTCTTGAATCACAGAATCACAGAATTGTCTAGGTTGGAAGAGACCTCAAGTCCAACCTCTGACCTAACACTAACAAGTCCTCCACTAAACCTCCACTAAGTTCAACATCTAAACGTCTTTTAAAGCCCTCCAGGGATGGTGACTCCACCACCTCCCTGGGCAGCCCATTCCAATGCCTCACAACCCTCTCAGTAAAGAAGTTCTTCCTAATATCCAACCTAAAACACCCCTGGCGCAACTTTAGCCTGTTCCCCCTCGTCCTGTCACCAGGCACGTGGGAGAATCGACCAACCCCCACCTCACTACAGCAAATCCTTCAAAACTAGCCATGATAAATGGGAGCTTTTGATTTCCCCGGTGCAGTTTATCAGCTTTAATTGTACCATGACCACATGAACCGTGCAGCTGAACCATATTTTAAACCTGCTCACACATTTCTTGTACATAAACTTCCACGCAACATCTGGGTAAAACAAACTGACACAGGCTCAGCACGGGAGGACCAGTACCCCATTACTCTGAACTGTTTGTTTAACCCAGCAGCTGTCATGGGGGTAACAGAAGGGAGACCCTCTGGTGCTTCCAGCCAGCGCAGTACATTTCCTTTCTCACTGCTGCAGCATCAAGTTTGGCTAATTACTACCCAAAAAATCACATTGTGAAGTATTTGTTCTCAGCACATCTCCATGTGTTTAAGAGCCTTCATTACGACCAAAGCTGTGCGTTGTAACCCAGTCTCTTGCTAGGACCACATAAAATACTGCCTCTAGCTATGGTGCTATACAGACACGGACAAGCAGCAGCACAGCTGGAAGAAGAACCTCAGTCTCCCTGCTCTACAAACCCATCCAACCCATTTTTTCATTAAAGCGTGGTTCTAACCTCATGAATAATTTTATACAGGTGGCTCTAACATCAAGAGGTTCTCAGTGTACTCCATGCAAAGCCTCCTCACATTCACTCCGTGCCTTTTTTAAGCCCTTCTCTTTCGGCTGGCACGAGTTTACAATTAAAAAGCACTGCAGAGCTTACAGCCTCTTTCTCCTAGCAAGAGATGTCAAAGGAAACTGCTGAGCTCTCCAGATTGCTCATCCTCCTCCTTCAGGACGTACAGATATTCTCCGAGGCTTCCGTTCTCCTGTAGTTCAGCAAAGTCACAGAAGTCTAAGGCAATACATAAGCTGAAATGAATAGGGGTGCCCAGAACTGGAATTTAAATCCCAACTAATTCAGCTGATCTAATTAATTCTGTCAATCTCCTGTCAATCTAATCCTGTCACGTCATCTAAAGCTTTCAAACCTACGCTGGTTCAGCAAAGTTAAACCACAGTGAAGAGTAACTGACATTCAGACACACGTGGAAAGCCTCTAGGTCAAGCAGAAAAGTGCCAGCTTTTCTGCTGTATTGCAGAGCAGAGTCACGATTAGAAATAGGAAGTCTGGTTCTGATCTAACAGGGAAATCCAACTTTAGAAGCTGAAAACGCTGCTGTGTCCAATGCAATTCCTGCCACAGCCACGCCATCAGCTTGTCAAAGCGCAGCTCAAAGAAACATAAAGCACCCTTCAGGGGCATTCAGTCTGCCTCACCTTCCGCTCTTGTGAAAATTTCTTCTAGTGTGTGCTTCTCTACTCTTTTACCTCCAGCTGCTGAAGTATTAGAATTGCTTCAGCACAGAGCAATGGATGAAAGACACCAGAATGGCAATTTGTAGCCAAGGCACTAGAGACACCAAAACCCATCTCTGGCTGCCCCAGCGGACAGCGAGAGCCGGCCATAACCATGCTTCAGTGTGGTCACCAACACGGCGAGCTGACCCCAGACCTGCACCTGCACTTTCAAAGGAGAAAACGAAAATGGAGAGGAGAGCACGTGGGGAACAGAGTAAAGTAACCATTCATTATAGGTTGCGGATGGCACCTGCAGAAGGGAAAAGTCCCGCAGAGCGCCTCAACTAAATCTTAATCAGTGGAGAAAAACTAATCAAACAAGAGATGACTTTTACCCTTTTTTTCCTCGTTAAACACAGCGCCGGGAACGTTTCCTCTTATGAAGCTGTAGAGGCTAAAATGTAGGTCAGGCTCCCTGCGCTCACGTGGCAGCCGGGATTTTTCCTCCCGCCGCGCCGTCAGTCAGTGGAGCGTGTGCTTTGTTGGATTAATTTGGAGTATTCTCCGAGCTGTCATCGCGAGTGACGGGAGCTGCTTAGGTGGAGTTTAGCACTCCATTATCGAGAACAAAGTTTGCTGTCATTTTTGTGGGGCTGGCTCTCAATGTGCAATGTGATCAGGGTGGTAAGAAGACAAAAGTAATGGCATTAGAGAGAGGCACTTATTGTATAAAAACTGTACATACATCTTTTCTCTGCTACCCAATTATTAGCTGATCCCTAATAAGTGCCTGATTGAAAGCCCATTCAGATCAAATCCCCTCTATTGTGGGAGTATTTTAGACACTTTTAGTAAAGACAATTATTTGAAATATGCTCTAAAATGTAGAGTATTGAGAGGATGTGGAAAAATTGTCCCACTTCTGGCCTGGCTTCCTGAGGAAAGGAGGTTTGCCTGCCTGTCCCCCAGCCCCACCAGAGCTCCTTCTGGCCCCACTGACTGATCACAGCCCTATTTTGTAGCACCTGAAAGGCCTGAGGCACAGAGAGAGACCTGCCATGCCCCCTGCAGGGAGGGAAGTGCTGCCAGCAAGTGCAGCAGCAGCTGACTGTGGGGGGGGCATCCCTGGTATTATCCAGGGCCACCCCAGATATCTGTCCAGGCTACTGCAACCTGAGGAGATGGTGAGCTGAGAAGGAAGGGTCTGAATTCATCAGACACATTACAGATTAAGTTGCCTGGTGATACGTTACCGTACGTCTGTGTTAGCAGTCACCCCAAGTGTGTACCACATCTCCTTCCCCAACGCTTCCTGGTAATCTGCCATTATTCTTATTTTAAATAAATCCAGTTGTCGAGGGATTCTAGATGCATTTTAAGATGAACCACAATAATTTATGAGCAATTACAGAAGAGCATGTACATAGTCTCTGAGTAATTTGTCTTTCTGCTTGCTGTCATATAAATAATTTTTGCATTGCGAATCTGCCTGTAATAATTTTTGTTGGGATCTGTCACCTACAGCAATTTATATCACAGGATTGTTAAACATGCTTGCCCGTTACCTGAAATCTCATTTTAAATTGAAATCATCTACAAATAAATGATTAAAAAATAAATATACTAGCTAATGTGTTAAATTTATTGCTCCACAAAGCAAGAAATGCTTGTGACTGTAAATATTTAGCCAGAAAAACATTCCTCTGAGTTACATTTTTATTTATAGATTAGCCATAGAGCGGCGGAGCCCAGGAACTGATATCCATCTCGCCTGGGGTCTGCAGACACGAGCAACGATGGATGCCCTCTGTGAAGGAAGCCCACAAAATGCATGCAATTTCTGGGACTCTTGAAGGGCAGAAATCGGTTACAGCCCACGAATTTTAGGCAACTTGGTATTTTCAGATCTTGATTCTAGAGGAAAGGGAACATACCCTGTGTTTGAGCAACCACAGTAACGCCTTTAATAGCTCTGGCTGGACGTGGTCTTCCCAAAGAGCCTGGGTATTAGCTCAGGCTCACCTGCTCCCTCTCTAGCCTTGTACAACAGTTCTCCAGTTGTGTCACTGGGGGTGTTTATCTCTGCA